CATCATCATCATGAATCATCATCATCATCATCATCATGTATTATTATCATTATGTATCATCATCATTATGTACCATTGGACCCACTGGACCCACTGGACCCACTGGACCCACTGGACCCACTGGACCCACTGGACCCACTGGACCCACAACTTTAGAGACGACGTGCCGTACAATGAAGAAGTTTTGTACTCTGGTTTACAAGTGATAGAAAACAAAGCAGCCGGCCTTCTGGACTAAACCAATGAAGACACTGTGTCTGGGGATGTCGTATAAAGGGATTAGCAACTGGATATCCACCTCACTTGAAGCCAGTTTACTTTTCTCGGCCATATCTAGCAAGGCTACCTTGACATTCGGCAGAGAAAAATGAATATCTCTTCTAGATCCAGTTAAACTTGGTGAGTACTGCAACAGGTAAGTGCATACCGAACAAATAAATAAATTAATAAAGGAACAAACGACTGGATGGATGGATGCGTAGGTGGGTGGGTAGATTAACGGATGTATAGATGGATGGATGGACGAAAGGATGGGTTGGTGGGTGGGTAAATGGATGGGTGAATAGAGCTATGGATGCATGCTTGTGCACACTATTTAATCATTCAGAGCGCGCGTCATACTTTAGCGATGATGGTTGAATGAATAAATGACAGAATGATTAAATGAATAAATGGACGAAGTAATGGATGAATGGATGAATGAATGAATTAATGGATGGATGGATGGATGGATGGATGGATGGATGGATGGATGGATGGATGGATGGGTTGAAGGGGTGGATAGATGGGTGGATGGTATGGATTGCTGAGTTGATATTAGGGTAGGTATCAAAGGGAAGGCTAGGGAAGGCTTTGAGGAAGAGCCATGTGAAGACAATGAAAAGGCTGTAATTTCATTCTGGACCAATAAACGCAATCACTGCAAGGATTGTGACTCGTTTATTGTTTTTGGAGCCACTAATCCCACCTGTGGGGATCGTCATTTTAATAAAGGAGAACAAAGGGCCGCATTTTGTTACATTCTCGTGCAGTGAGCTCCTCGTAGCCTTGAAAATGAATGGTTACGCACAAAAGAGAACTGATTGTGGCGCTGCCACTGCACACTGAAGAAAAGTTAAAAAAATAACCTGTAGCATTCTATCGAATCCTAACTCACAGATCAAACCCTGAAACATCCTCTGGACTGATCAGGAAACGGCCATCTCGCAGATCAAACTCGAAATTAATCTTGATAGTTACTGCATGTTGCGTTCTCGTGAAAGTCATTCATGTCAGTGCATTCATATTGTTGTCATTCTCGCAGGCTTGTCCCGAGTATTCCGCTGGACAGATACATTCGCACGGGACGGGAGCATGATCAAAATTTCCTTCACATGTTGTTTATACGTTATATAATGAGAACACTTTATATAATGAGAAAAAGACCCCTTTGGTCTGACGTTTTCCACCCCATAACAGGGCGACATTTACTAGAACTACCAGGATGCCTTGCACACTTTCCTTTGTTGGGTTAATCAGCACCAATTGTCTTAATGTTCTCATGAGGGAATACAAATTCGAATAAGGAAGAATCTTTGCGAAGCATTTCGGTAGTGATAGTTTAAATACGTCATCATGTAGACGGCATATACTCTTGTGTATCATTTCTTTATTTACTAGTAACGCTTGAAAAGACACATTCACACTAATGTAACTGAAACAAAAAAATCTTCATTTAAAATAGCTCAAAAAGGATCTATTGTACATATATCTTACATGCTTATAAAACATAATCTGTGCATGCATTAGAAATATGTATAAAAGTCGTGGGACACTCAAATGGCTTTCTTCCTAGTTTCTCAGTTGACCAATTACAAAGCACTTTGCTTCTAACCAATCGCACTGCTAAAATCCAGAGATCATTTGAGAGCCGCCGGCATAACTAACGTGTCCCGGCATTCCAACAGAGAAATCTAGCTTGAGATCTCAAAACTGCAATGCCGATGACTATTGGTAAATACCGTTCTGTATTCTCATATTTGGGCTTGTAAAATAAAAGATAATTTCAATCGAAGGTGCAAGTTGGTTAAAAACTACCGTATTCAGCAAAGTGCCCAAAATTTAATTTTCATTGGTGGGTCATAAGAAAACAGTGTATTTTCACTATGACTGTACTAATAGAGCAGTTTTCGTATGACTGTGGAAAAAGTCAGTGCCGTATGCGTGCCTTGTCTCGACCGTGATGTTTTCTAGAATTTTGATTGGGGAAATTTTTGTTCTCGTGCAATGTGATTGGACTGGCAGTGCCATGACCTATGCGTGACCGTGTCCGTGCAGTGTTCATGCCGTGTTCCAGGTATTTGATTGGATGGAGAGTAAATTCTCGTGCAATGTGATTGGTCTGGCGTATCCCTTGCCGTGCCATGACTGTGTTCGTGCCGTGCGCTTTTCACAGTCATACGAAAACTGCTCTAAGCCGGAAATTGCGTCAAAATTTAATGTTTATTGGTGGGTCATAAGAAAACAGTGTATTTTGACTATGACTGTACCAATATATAGCAAAATGCGTGGGTCTTCCTTGCTCCAAGATAGGCATCGCTGGGAGCGTAGTTCCCGCATATCGGTGCGTCGTTTGGTAGATAAATCAGTCGAGGTCCCAAGCCAATATATGAATTGTAATCCGAACATTGTGCGCGATTGACTTTACTTGCGAAGAACCCAATCCTTAACGCTCTACTACTACTTATCATATGGTTGAGGCCTTCCCTGAAAAAAAAAATCGGGCATCGGTGTTACTTTGTCAATTTCCTCACTAGGGGCGTAGCTAGGTGTCTGTCATGGGGGGAGAGGTAATGTACTTGATTTTCCTGTAAATATGCTTTAAATAGTCTTTACGTTCTATTCATAATCATCATCATCTTCATCATATGTATATCACCATCACCCTCCATCCTGCTGCGCCAATCTCATCTTCATTGTAATTAATCATCATACCAATAAATCTTTTCGTGTATCATCATGTATCATCATCATGTATCATCATCA